AAACTATATTTTGAAAAAAAAAAAAGTATAGGCCACTACGCAAAAAAATGAGTTTTCAAAGGCAACATTGGATAGTTAAATGTTACTAAAGGGGTCTATAGCAACAAGTGAATGTTGCGATTGATTAGTATAATTGAATTTTTGCAACATTTTGTAAATAAATGTTGCAAAAAAGTGTCTTTCTCAGCGTTTATTGGACGTTGCTCAAAGATAAACTTTTTACAGCGTTTATTAAACGTTGCAAAAAAGCTTTTCGATTTTTTTTTCCCGATGATTTCGCAACCTGTTTTGTTTTTAACGTTGCAAAAACTCCCCCATCCCCTTTATATCAATCCCTAGCTTTTCCTCATCTTGCTCCGCCTCTCCTCTCTTCTTCCTCAACTCTACATTCCTCCTGAGACGAAAATGGCGTCTTCATCCGACCAAAATCCCCTCTTACCGGGTATGAAGCTCCTCCCCTCCGCTCTCATAGCCACCATCACGAGCAAGCTCGACATCCGCTCCATCCAGTCACTCGCATCCACGTGCAAGACCTTCCGCTCCTACGCCGCCCACATCCTGTCTTTCGTCCCCACCTTCCACCTTTTTGTAAGATATAATCATATACTTGGTATGAGTTTTTTTTCTTTTACCCTAGATTTCGGTTTATATGTTTCAATTCTGGTTTTATTTTCAGGATATAGCGCCATTGATGAATTTGTTGAGACCTTTATTACCTTCAAACCCATACTTGAGAAGCCTAAAGGTGGATGCACACGCCTTGATGATTTCTCCCTCGATTTCTTGATTCACCCCTCTTTGCAAGAGCTTTGCCTCTACAATTGCGCCGACTGCACAAGAACTTGTTGGTTCTTTGTTAAATGCTGGTGTGACTTTTATTCTCCTGGTTAATGGCCAATTTTGAAGATGATGAAGCTTAGTGGATAACATGAATTTTTTTTGAAAGTTCAATATAATTTTATCCATTAGTTATCAAAGTGTGCAAGGAGAATTGATAGAAA